GAACTTTGGGATTCCCCCACTGTTTGAGCCAACAACAACAATCTCAGCCCAAGACAACAATCTCACCATCTCCAGCGGAGACCGTTTCATACAGATTCAAGATCAAAAGCATGGCGGCTGGACACGGCTCAATGCCACTGTTCTTCGCGATAGCTGTACATGCACAACATGCGTCGACCCAGCCTCTGGTCAAAAGAGCTTTGCGACAACAGCAATTCCCTCAGACATCGCCATTGATGGTATCCACACGACTTCAACCGGCGTGGGCATCTCGTTCAAGAACGACATGTATAAAGATCACGAGATGATTCTTCCTTGGAGTTCAGTCGACAAAGCACTTGGCCATGCACCAGTTGAGAGAATGCCATACCCAAGACAAGACGCAGTGTATCCCAAAACAGGGCGTACGTTTTGGGACAAAGCGACTATCCAGCAACGTGTACGAAAGATTGACTATAATGACTTCATGAAGGGCGACGATGCATTCTGGCATACTCTTCTCGATCTATCGAACCTTGGTCTCGTGTTTCTTAAGAACGTACCGCACGATGAGAACTCCATCGTCGACATTACAACACGCATCGCAAATATTAAAGAAACCTTCTACGGCCGCACTTTCGACGTTCGTGCTAAGCCAGACGCCGAGAATGTAGCATACACAAGCGGGTATCTTGGTCTTCATCAGGATTTACTATACCTTGAGAGTCCACCCGCGATCCAACTTCTTCACTGCATGGAAAACTCGTGCAATGGCGGAGAGTCACTGTTTAGTGATGGGCTGTTCGCTGGAAAGCTACTATGGCTACAAAACTCCCCAGCAATCAGGAATCTCGCTCGAGTGAAGATTCCATATCACTATGAGAAACACGGATACTTCTATCGTCAGCAGCGATCACTGTTTGATGTTGGGCCAGATGGAAATCTCGCAGCTGTATACTGGAGTCCGCCGTTCCAGAACCAATTCCAGGTTCCAGCTGTTGACGCAAGAGCGTGGCTTGAACCAGCGCAGTTATTCGATGGGCTGATCAATGATCCTGATTCCATGTTTGAGATGAAGATGAAGCCAGGAGAGTGCGTTCTTTTCGATAACATGAGAGTCATGCATGGACGGAATCAGTTTGACGTTGGTGGAGGATCGAGATGGCTGAGAGGAGCGTACATTGCACGAGAGGATCTCGTTAGTCGTGTTCTCCATGTGCCTGAAGCTTTGGCAGCGGAGTATCGCAATGGCAAGGAATGGAGTCGTGCGCTGGAGGATGAGGAGTTGAAGGCATCGAAGTGGTTTGACAAGGTCGGGGGACAGGTTGAAAGCGTTGTTAACGGATTAAAGAGAAAAGGAGCTGCGGAGTTGGGAGAAAGAGATTATGAAGTGTTAAACCTGGGATAGCATATAGAACAAGTACGGCATAGCGAAAATTACGAATTGGTTCAATTGATAGCTCAGATTGAGCTGCTTTTCTATTACCTTTCCGATACGCCGAAATAACCCACCAAACACCGTAGTTCGTGAATCGTTGCTCAGTATTCGTAACTCAATATCTCCCATCCTTGGTTCATAAGCGATTACCATCTACCACTTCTTGGCCTCGACACCCTCAGGGGGCACCGTCTCGACAGTCCTGTTCTTGACGTCATCCCAGTCAGTGCTGAGACTTGTACCATTGCTCTCTGTGAAACTTTTCATCATGGCTCGTTGCTGCTCAGGAGTGGCGCCCTTGAAAAGCTTCTTGAAGAACACGTTGACGTCTTTCTCCTCATCAGAGTCAACGTCGTCGCCAATGGTGTCCCAGTTCTTGGGCCCAGTACGAGACGATGAGGGGTATGCTGGCTTGGAAGAGTTTTCCGTGGCGGGGGCCTTGTCTTTCGCTTCGGTAGACTCTGCAGCCTCCTTTTGAGCAGAAGCTTCTGCCGCGGCATCGTCCATGGCCTTCTTTCGGGCGTCTTTGAGAACCTTGAGTTTTCTTGAGTAAAGTTAGTAAGCTGTATCGATTGAGAACTTGTGAGAAACTTACTCCGCTTCCTCAGCAGCTGCAGCATCTGGAGCAGAATCTCCTGCCTCTCCCCTGAGCTGCGCCCACTTTCCAGGTGTCTTTTTCTTGAGTGCTAGCTCAACCTTGTTGGGCGTAACCCTGTATGTCGATGCATCTGTGTCAATCTCACCCCACAGATCAAGTGTGAATGGCTTCTCGTCGCCGCTGGGCCAAACGACAGAGTCAAGATGGGCTGATTTGGGGCTGAACTGGACCTGGAGCTTCTCTTTGTTCACGCCTTTGGAGAAGATGGATACTGTCATCGTGGTGTCGTTCTGGAATTCCTGGAGTCGTATTGGGGTATCAGCGGGTACAGTAGGCTTGGGGGCGGTTTGTGTGGCAGCCGCCGATTCCTTAGTCTCGACCTTCTTACTCCCCACATCTGATAGCTCCTTCAACTCGGGTTTGTTGGCCGTGGTGAGCTTGCGTGCAGGGTCATCCTCTGGAAGCTTGTCCATAGCGAACAGGATCTGCATTCGCAAAGTGCTCGCAAGGCGCCACTCTTTAGCATTAGCAACATTGTTGCTTTCTGCTCCCAGTGCCCCTGCCGCCCCTGCCTGTCTCTTGTTGATCTCATCTGTCTTTGACTCTTCCTGAGCATCCTTCAATGTCACTTTGTAGAATCCGTTCTCGTCTGTGTTCTTCTTCGGCGGATCTTCCTTCTCTACGGCAGGGAAGCCTTTGACTAAGCGCATAGCATAAACACAGCATGCGTCGGCGTTGGCATATTGTCCGAGCCGAAAGTAGGCGACAGCCCGACGGTAGTGGGCATCGATGAGAAGGGGTCGTTTGTTTCGTTGGTATGCGGTATGCCAAGCAAGGTTAGCGTCGTCGAGGGCCTCTTGGAAGCGCTTCTTGTTGATAAGGGCTTTCGATCGAGCGATGAGCCATGCAGGGTTCTGCGAGGCCTTCAAGGCGGCTGAGAGCTTCTCGATAGCTTCATCCCAGTTGCGTACTTCGGCGGCTGCGAGGCCTTGCTGGGCCAGTGTGATGTGTGACATGGTAGACTGCAATATGTGGGATTAAAAAGAATGTTCAAGGAAAAAGAAGTCTTGCAGTGTGACAATGAGGTGAGTTGGTATTGTTAAGAGTTGGTGCGAAGGCTGCAGTGGAAGGTTTAAAGTTGGATGTGAGGAATGGTTGGTTCTGGAAGCTTTGGTGGGGCATGATGCAGGCACCTACCTCATGTAGCCCCCGCGCTGTGTAAGTGGAAGAAGCTCTGGTGCCTACCTAAGTTACCTCGACCCCGAGCATTAAACTTCAAGATCTAGGGGTATCGATGAGCACTTGGTTTACCTTCAGTGACAATCTTCTTGTGATTCCTTCAGCGAATCATTGAAGCGGGCGTCGCATTCTAACGAAGAAGTTGCTGCAAAGTATTTCCTATACTTTAAATGAACACAACTCTCCAATATTCTGTATAGCTACCTACAGGAAACAAATTATCGCCCAGTTTCAATCATGGTCGAGATGTCTGGTTGTTTTGTCCCTGGTGGTTGAACAGATGTCTACCACGACTTTATCAGGTTGAACATAAGTCACTGAGGTACCATCGAGATAGATTCTAGCAGTGTGCAGGTTTCCCTCTCACTCTTTTTAAATGAGTTTTTGGGAATTCTTTCTCACTATGTCCTCCCGTAATCATCATGACCTGTTCGACGTTTGAGACCTAGGGCTATTGTCCTGGGGCTATGCCAGCCACTACCTAATTCTCCATGAAGCAGTTAATCTGCATACATATGACACTGACCAGGCTCTAGCAACCCATGCTTCAATTGCTTCTTGGTCGGCTTTAATGATCACGCTCTACTTGTAGTTATAGGTATCCTTCTTGATCTCCAGCTGCAATTGCGAGCCAACAAAGCTCCCGTTCCATAAAATGCGTTACCTTCAGGTGTCTCCATCAACTTTCCGATCTTCTAGATTTATTATGGGGGTAGGTACTGTACGATAAATACCTACCTAAGGTAAGTACATTTTATGATCTTCGGCTGTGGTAGGCGCTTTCTTTGTTGCTCGAAATACCGCCGAGTTTGGTTGCCCTTTCCCAATCTCCGTGAATGCACTAGAGTTGCAATTGTGGCCAGAGGCGCCTTCTCATGATGAGAATAGACAATATGTGTTCATGACATACTGTTAAACAACCCCTCTGGGCATCGGACCATACTCCCGACAGTTTTTGACGATCACTCTTGCTTCGTTACGTTCTTGCAACCAGCCGGCGTGAACAGCCTTCGTTCTTTCCTGGGAAGGAGCTGCTGTATGCTGTCAAGGTACAAAAGGATGCCACACCATCCTGGACTCGATCTTGTCTTCTTTTCTTCTTCATGCTGCGCTTCTCGCCCCGCAGCTGGATATTGGCTATCCTGTGTGTTGCTCGCGACCCTGGCGACCAACAGTCAATTACCCACTCTGATGTTCAAGGTATCGGAGTGGAAGGGCACAATTTTTTGACTCTCGGTATGCTTCTGGCGTGCGAACTCTCTTTTTCATTGCATTCATCGACTGGCCTGATGGTGTGAAGAAGAAGCTGTTAGTATCTCTGTAGATTTGTTGGCTTTGTATTGCAGATATGAGTGGGATCGTTGCACGCTGAAGGGAGCCGGATCAGACGACGGGTGTTGCAGGAGGATAATGAATGGAGAGGGGCAATACGGGAAACGAGGTCGGGGCGACACCTAAAATAGTTTTAGATTCAGGGCTGACAGAGGAGAACAGTTAGGAATGAAGATGCAGTGAGAAGCAGAAGAACGGTCGGCAAGCATGAGACTTCTTGTATGCAGGTCAATGTGAGGGACAGAATCCTAGGGCCAGACAGTATGTTAAATAGTCATGGAGGTGTCTGAAATGCATATTCTTGATGCATTCATTATTATGATTATTTTCGAGGGATTGACTTCGACAGTCGCCTTCTCATTATATCCTACCTTGTAATTCATGCATCATATGTAGTATCCATCCGTCTAGTTTTTAGTTACCCTTCCCCTTGACACCGTTGGTCTTGACACCATTTGTCTTCACTCCATTCGTTCCGTTTTCCGCCACCGCCCAGCTTGGTAGCAGCTTTTCCTCGGGAAACCTTTTGGCAAACATGCCAAGGGCCTTGATGGTGAAGGTGAACTTGTAGTTGGGATACGAAATCATGCATGACTTATTGAAGACACCCTCGATTGCCTCCTGCAGCCACTCTCCATTGGGCTTCTGACGGTCCATGATGAACTGGATACCTCGTCTCAAAGGTTCCACGTGAGGGTACTCGGCTTCCATCAGTCCGATCAGAGCCCAGGCTGTTTGAACAACAAGGGAGCCTGAAGGATGTTCGACGTAGGTCATCGTTTCGCAGGCCTGTGATTGTTAGTAAGAACCGTGAAGCAAAGTCTGTGTAACGTACCTTGTAGCTTTCTGACCATCCGCCATCAGCTCTCTGCTTGGAGATGAAGAAATCGCAACCGCGTCTAGAATTCTCGCCTGTTGCGTATGTCTGGCCGATGTGCTTCATGCTTTCAAGCGCAAACATACCGGCGTATGTGAAGCAGATACCCCAACTTCCGTACCAGCTGCCATCAGGTGCTTGGTTGGACTTGATCCATTCGGCGGCCGTCCGGATAAGTGTCCTGACCTCGTCTGTTCGGTAGTCTGGCCAGTGCTTGTTGAACATGGATAAAGCTGTCACGCAAGCTGTTGTACATTCAGGGTAGTCATATTCAATCATGATACGACCAAAAACCTCAGCGGCATTGAGCATCTCCAACCATTCGCCTCCTCGTCGCTTCTCGTATGAGGACATGCCGCCGTTGTCGTTCTGGTACAGGAGCAGAGTATCGACAGCGTCGAAAAGACGTCGATCTTCGAGAACCTCAGGAAGGCCGCCCACCTTTTGCAGAAGAATAATAGCCTTGAGTGCTTCCGAAATGCAATCACTGACACCGTATCCCTGATCCCTGTTGCTGAATGGCCAGCCACCCTTTCGCGGTTGACGATAGCACACTTCCTGATCGGCACAGTCCTCTCGAATCTGCTGACGTTCCAAGTAGTGCAGCGACTTCATGAGCATAGGCCGGTACTTCTCGTTTTTGTGAAGGCCAGCCTCAAAAACAGCCTGAATCAAGAACGCCGTGTCCCAGCATTGAACACCATTGGTGCCGTTGGCCAACATGCCTTCGTCCTTGACCCAAAGATACTCTTCAAGTCGCTCGATATGCCTCTGAACACCATAATTATCAGGGCCATCGCGAGCATAGCACATAACAGTATTCATAGCAGCGTTGACAGGGGCCAAGCAGGCATAGCCTGTATTGGCATCCTCCATATCAACTTGCTTGCTAGCCCATGCTTCAGCTTTCTCTTTGAGGAAATTGGGTCGCAGATAGGGCATCCATATATTGGCAAGTACCCAATTGGCGGCGTTGAGAAACCATGATTTGGGGTGATAATTGTCTATAGCGCCAATGCTGTTACGATGGCTTGACCAGTTTATCTTGGCGTAATCCTCGAGGAATACTTCTTTCTTGAGTGATCGAATCACATCGGTCTCTTCGCAGCTCCATCGTTTCGAGTATAGCCAGCCCATTGGTAGGAACACCATTCGAATGTGAATCCACCATCTCCATGGCGCAAAAGGAACCCAATCAGGAAGCAACCAAAACTCTGGTGGCACAGGGTTGACGATATCCCAGCTCATGAGTCCCAAAACAGCCATCCAGAATTTGGCCCAGTGTGGCGCATACAATGCTCCTCCCATCTTGTGTAGAGTTCCTCTGGCCTTGACCAGAACTGGGTCCTCAGGGTCGACGCCGAGAAGTCGGAGGGCCACATAATTCATCAGTGTTCCGAAGACGCTGCTTTCGCCTTCAATATGTAGACCCCAGCCACCGTCCACTGGATGCGCTCGTGCGGATATGTATTTATAGATCGCGGTCGCTTTGGCGGAGGAAATTGGCGTCCTGGTAACATACCAAGTCATGACGATACCAGGGAGGAGGAACATGGGACCGCCATATTCGCAACCCCAATGTCCGCTGGGAAGTTGAAGCTTTTCGAAAAAGTCGAGACCGTTCTCCGCTGCTGCCAATGGGTTGTCGGGGGTGGGAAGGTCAGGGAGATCCTTTGTCCGACATGTTAGTTGCGATTTGAAGGGGGATCTGGCAAAGAACATACCAGAGGCAAATTCAAATACCATTTCTCGGCATAACTCTGTGGCCACTCCTTCACATCGTCGTCATTTTCAAGGTAGTGCCATGTGTGGCGACTGTCGTCGTCCTTGAGCCTCCATCTTGTCGTGTCCAAATGTGAGCTGATGCGAGGCTGCTTGGGGAACGGCCGACCCTGTTTCAACAGTGGTTCCGACTCGGAGTCAGCAGCGCGCTTACGCGACTTTAGCGCGCTACCCTCAAGTCCAGTAGAATTTGCGACCATGCTTAGGTGAGTTTGATGGTCTCAGCGGCAGGTTTCGCGGGTCAATTCAGAGAAGAGCAGTGGAATGATCATGAACAATCCCCTGGTCAAAAGTTGATGAGCAGCACATGATTTAAAACTAAACTATAACACGGGGGCGGATGGAATTACCAGCCCGCTGTAAGCCCCGATGTACGGGAGGGCCCGCCGTCTTCTGGTGGCACCTGCAGCATATCATTCCCCCCATGTCTAGCGGTCAAGCCCCTGAAAATCAATTAACTCTCAGGATTGGGCAATCTTGAAAACCTCCACAGAACAGCATCGCGCTTTGAGACTCTACTGCGTATTCGGACAAGATCTTGAACTTTACTTACGAAAATCATCCAACTCCTAAGCTTGTTTCAATAAGCGCCAAGAAATCATGGACGAAGAGGCAGAAATTGCTCATTCGATTGCTATACCAGAACTAACCCAGAGTCCTCAAGCTAATCACACATCATCAGCGACAGCGAACGAGAATACTGATACGAATACGATAATTAACAACCCCAATGCAGGAACGGTTGTCATTCGTATTGAGGACATTCTTGCGCAAATCATCAGCGCTTTAGCTGCGGGACATGAGTTATCAATACCATTTTCTGCACGAAGGTCAACACGTCGCGCCGCAAATGCACAGCCAGAACAGGTTCACTTCCCTGGTCGTAACCAACAGGAAGCAGTCAAGTTTGGTCAGGCTTCAGCAGGGTTGTCTCTGTTAATTTGACTTACAAGTTTCAGCGCGCATACTTCTCATTCTTCAGCTATCACATGATGCTCTTGTGTCTGGCACCGTTCTAACCAAGCGGTTAGTGCATTGGCCCCAGATGCAAGAGATGTACTAATGGGCTCATATGCAGCCACATCTTTTACCAACACCAGCATCTCTTTGAGAAGCAAGGCCAAGTGGATGACCTCGTTGATGACATTGCTTTCAATCTTGGTATCAGTCGTGGGGACTTGAATATTGTACGCCTTGTTGAAAGCACCCGCCGTACTTCAACTAACTGGAACAGGTTGCAGCATCAAAGGGTGCCCTGGCTGGACCGTTGCTAATACGCTTCCACGATGGGAGTACATTGAACCCTTGTTCGGGAGATCTGGTAAGACTTTTTGAGGTATGATTCTGTTTGATTCTGAGTGATGTAGGGAGTTGCTATCCCGACTGTTCAGTCAATCTCAAGCATTGATGTTCAAAACATCAAATGGATTCTTGTTGTTGAGAAAGATGTAAGAGGTACAGATTCTTCGTCACCTCGATGAAGCTGACTCCTGCAGGCCGTTTTTCGATCTCTCTGCTCGTCCCAATTTTGGAGAACCTGCATCTTTGGTCCTGGAGTGCTTGTCACAGTATGTTTGGACAATGTGAAACGCGACGCCCGAGCTGACTCAAGGAGGCCAAAGGATATCCTGATTTGACCACGCGCTCGTTCCTGAACTTTGTTCATACACAGTGCCCCCAACTGCCGCTCCTGGGGCTGTTTGACTACGATCCGGACGGCGTCAAGATCTTGCGATGCTACCGGCACGGATCCGAAAGACTGAGCCATGAAGCTGATCTCGGTATAGAAGCATTGCGGTGGCTCGGTATCAGATCAGTGCATCTCTCCCGAGGTCATACTGATACCTCACTCAGTAACTACGGACAGCCAAGCCATGTGTCTATCACGTCAATCCAGTGCCGTGATCCCGTCACCTATTTGAATGGCAGAGAGCGGGCTGTAGCTATCTCAACACTCAAGAAGATCAGCCTGCGCTCTCAAAATGAGCTTGAAGGCTCAGAATTACGACTCGAGTTGCAACTGATGACAATGCTCGGAGTCAAAGCAGAAATTGAATGGCTGGATGAATCTGGAGACTTGTGTTCATGGCTGGATGGCGAAATTGGGGAAGCACTCATTAGCGAGAGAATCTGACTTGCATGGACTTTTTGAAGGAAACTCTATTATGATCCTCGGTAAAGGAGTCAATTGGCAAGGGAAAAGAGGGAATTTACTAACACAGCGACTAAGTTAAGCTGGTAGTTTACTTTTCCTTTCCCTAAATCGAAGGTGAAAATTGAACTTAACTACCCTGCAGCAATCTACACTCCACACGGTGCGAAAATAGCGGGGTATCTAACCACACAGTCCCCTCATCATAAAATTTTATATTCTTGACATGAAAACATCACCAAGCGCATCATCATGGCACCCAAACTCACGGAAGAAGAGATCGATGATCTCATTTACTTTGCGCGAGCAGGAGAGCAGGAGGATCTGACTGAGACTATCAGGAGTCTGGCGGAGCGGGAGAATGTCAGTCCTGCTGAGATTGTAGCGGCTGCTCAAGATGCTTCCAACAAGTCAACATGTTTACACATGGCGACAGGAAATGGTCACCTAGGTATGTCCAACCCTGAAAGAAATGAGATTTTGTGAGGCCTAAGAACCATTTTGGAGTCCAACTGTGAAACAATGCCAGACTGACATATTGTAGAAATCGTCAGGCAACTCATCCAATATTTCGGTACCCAACCAAAGGAGCAGAAGCAGGCATTTCTTGACGAGGCAAACGAGGCCGGAAACACAGGCCTTCACTGGGCAGCATTGGGCGGTCACCTCGATGTCATCAAGCTGCTCCTGGAGCAAGGCGCTTCCCCCGCGCTGGCAAACGAGCAGAACTACGTTCCTCTTGATCTGGCGTACTTCAACCACAAGAACGACGTTGCTGAGTACTTCTTGTCAACTGCTAAGAAGCTTGAGGAAAAGAACCAAGAAGAGGGTGGTCTGAGCGCTGCCGTTGGGTCGGTTGAGATCGAGGAGGGAGATGAGAAGGTCGAGGAGAAGAAGGAGACCTCATAGAGGGGTCAATCAGAATGAAAATTGGATTAGGAGGAATGGATACTGATAGAGGACTCTTGTGATGCTGGAAGCTTCGGAAAAGGATAGGGAGTTTGGGACTATATGAGAACAACGAAAATACCTTCTTAAAGAAAACTGCAATCCTTGGTAGATTTGATTTGAGTTGGATTCGCGACTCTGAAGAATGTGACAGAAAGGATCCAGCCAAACAAGCCGTGACAGACTATCTAGGATGATATATGTTCTGGAGGCTTTTGTAGGTGACTACTGTTGACTCCAGTTTCTCTATTAGGTCTATAAATGCTTTGCAACAACCAAAGGATCAAGGTAGGAGGATGTCTAATGTACCAGTACGGAGGTGAGATGAGTTCAAATGTGCTGTAAAGTCAAGAGTATATGCTATGTTAAAATGTAGTATATATATAGCAAGGAAATCAGCCTCCAACCTTGATATATAGGAATATGAAATTCTGACCCCAGGCCCTTGGTCAACCCGCCCGTCTCCTATAAATACGAAACCGTCATTCTTTTCCGCTGACAGGACTCTTCGTTTGCAGCGTGCTGGAGTGACATACTTTCGAGGCGGCGTATAGTATTTTTCGCTGGGCTATTTCAAAGCCAGGCATACCTTGCTGGAATATGATAGGCTTCTCAAACAAACCAGTAGCTCTCAACGAAGAACGGAAATAGCCAATTCAAGCTGATCGTGATGCCTCTTGCAAAGAGGAGTATCGTCAGCCAGGATCTGGAGCCCACATCCGCTTTTACTGCAAGTATGTCGAGGGCAGTATGTGGAGTATTGGGCACTATTCCTTGTAGTACAAACATCTGTGAGGCAATCAAACTCCTGGGCGGAGCAAGTATGTTTCCTACAGAACATTCCCTTAAGGCCAGCATGAGAAACATAAACCTGATTCTGGCAGGACCCTGAAGAACAAGTATCGTTTGGCCGATATTGGCTTCTAACATTATTCAACATTCGCGTCCTGTTATCGACAGCGATTTCGCCGCAACGCCTGATCATGCCGTGGAAATACCTTTCCGTTCTGCCAACTACAGAATTCATGTCAACAAAGACCTTATCATCCTCCTCGATTTTCCTTGCCTTTTGATTAGCGCATCTCTCGCAGTCACCTCCAATCTTCACAATGGTGTACTCCCTTTCGATAGGGGAACCTGGTGGACTAGTGTCAGATCCTGGCTTCAGAGATAATACATCTTCTATTAAACAGCCGTGTCTGTCATTGCAAGGAATGAATGCACCCTGGGCGTTCTCCATATAATGGGGTTCGCCATTGCTAGAGCAAGCATACTGGAGCTTAAGAAGGCGACACATGTTGAAATGCTTTGAGCGATTCTTTCCCACTGTGTTATTTGCCGTTGAGACTTTTTCTTTTTTCCTTGTTTTGGGCTCTGTCTCTTTGTGACTATGGTTGCTGTAATCGGTGGAGCAGGAGAAGTAGGGGAAGGGGGACTATGAATACTGACTAGATTTATTACTGGAACTGAATGATAAGAGCGGGTTAAGAAGTGTATTATATATGATTTTTAAATGTACTTTCCGCACTAACAGAACGAACGGCTTGTCCAATATCAACATGTTACCGAGTGTTCTTCCAGGAAGAAGTACACTGACATTGGGTCTCTCGAACAAAGACATAATAGTCCGAACAATAGCAGAATTCAACTCTAACTTTTTTGTTCAGTACAGGCTATTCTACCAGTTCAGTCCATGAAATCAGTGCTTGGTCTTTTGAAAGTTTTGAACATCGAAGAGGTTCTCCAGTACCTAATAATGTTATAACACATTCCAAGTTTTCCGCGGTAGTCTATGATGTAACTCTGGGAACGTTGAGTTAAAGTCTGCGTAGAACATTCCTATGGGAGAATACAACCTCAAATTCCCAGCCTTTCCAAGTTATTAATATTACACATGCATGTACAGCCAGCTAAGGCCAGGCTCTTCTGGTCCAAAACCTAGATTTGCTTCTCTAGTGATTCTGCCACTAGCGAAAGTGTTTCTCCAACGACATGTACGATCTCATAGACCTGTATGCCCTTGCAGGTTTCTGCCCAAAGCTTCACTGCTGCAATAGCCAAGCGTCTTATCCTGCTAGGAAAGTCGGATTTGGGGCCAAG